ATAGAGTGATATTGATGACTGATAGACGTTGTTAGATATATAGAGTGATATTGATGACTGATAGACGTTCTTAGATATATAGAGTGATATTGATGAATGATAGACATTGTAAGATATATAGAGTGATATTAGTGACTGATCAACGTTATTAAATATATAGAGTGATATTGATGACTGATAGACGGTGTTAGATATATAGAGTGATATTGATGACTGATCAACGTTGTTAGATATATAGAGTGATATTGATGACTGATAGACGTTGTATAGGTATATAGAGTGATATTGATGACTGATAGACGTTGTTAGATATATAGAGTGATATTGATGACTGATAGACGTTGTTAGATATATAGAGTGATATTGATGACGATTGTTTTAGATATATAGAGTGATATTGATGACTGATAACGTTGTTAGATATATAGATATGATATTGATGACTGATAGACGCTGTAAAACATATAAAGTGCTATTGATGACTGATAGACGTTGTTAGATATATAAGTGATATTGATGACTGATGGACGTTGTTATGACTGATAGACGTTGTTAGCATATATAGAGTGATATTGATGACTGATAGACGTTGTTAGATATATAGAGTGATATTGATGACTGATAGACGTTGAGATATATAGAGTTATTATGACTGATATAGATATATAGATGATATTGATGACTGATAAACGTTGTTAGCTATATAGACTGATATTGATGACTGATAGACGTTGTTAGATATACAGAGTGATATTGATGACTGATAGACGTTGTTAGATATATAGAGTGATATTGATGACTGATAGACGTTGTTAGATATATAGAGTGATATTGATGACTGATCAAGGTTGTTAGATATATAGACTGATATTGATGAATGATACACGTTGTTAGATATATAGAGTGATATTGATGACTGATAGACGTTGTTTGATATATAGAGTGATAATGATGACTGTTAGACGTTTCTAGAAATAAATAGTGATATTGATGACTGATAGACGTTGTTAGATATATTGAGTGATATTGATGACTGTTTCACGCTGTTATATATATAAAGTGAAATTGACCACTGATCAACATTTTTAGATATATAGAGTGATATCGATGACTGTTTCACGTTGTTAGATATATAGAGTGATATTGATGACTCATACACGTTGTTAGATATACAGAGTGATATATTAGACGTTGTTAGATATATAGATTGATATTGATGACCGATAAACGTTGCTAGATATATAGAGTGATATTGATGACTGATAGACGTTGTTAGGTATATAAAGTGATATTGATGTCTGATAGATGTTGTTAGATATATAAATTGATATTGATGACTGATCAACGTTGTTAGATGCAGATTGATATTGATCACCGATCAACGTTGATAGATATATAGAGTGATATTGATGACTGATAGACATTTAAAGATATATAGAGTGATATTGATGACTGATAGACGTTCTTTGATATATAGAGTGGTATTGATGACTGATAAACGTTGTTAGCTATATAGACTGATATTGATGACTGATAGACGTTGTTAGATATACAGAGTGATATTGATGACTGATAGACGTTGATAGATATACAGAGTGATATTGATGACTGATCAACGTTGTTAGAGTGATATTGATGATAGATATATAGATATATGATGACTGATAACGTTCTAAGATAGATAGAGTGATATTGATGACTGATAGACGTTGTTACAGATATAAAGTGATATTGGTGACTGATAGACGTTTATAGATATATAGAGTTATATTGATGACCGATAAACGTTGCTAGATATATAGAGTGATATTGATGACCGATCAACGTTGTTAGATATATAGAGTGATATTGATGACTGATAGACATTGTAAGATACATAGAGAGATATTGATGACTGTTTCACGTTGTTAGATATATAGAGTGATATTGATGACCGATAAACGGTGTTAGATATATAGAGTGATATTGGTGGCTGATAGACGTTTATAGATATATAGATTGATATTGATGACTGATCAACGTTGTTACATATATAGAGTGATATTGATGACTGATTACCTTGTTAGATATATATAGTGAATACTGTTAGATATACTGATGAATACTGTTAGATATACTGATGAATACTGTTAGATATACTGATGAATACTGTTAGATATACTGATGAATACCATACTGTTAGATATACTGATGAATACTGTTAGATATACTGATGAATACTGTTAGATATACTGATGAATACTGTTAGATATACTGAATACTGTTAATATACTGATGAATACTGTTAGATATACTGATGAATACTGTTAGATATACTGATGAATACTGTTAGATATACTGATGAATACTGTTAGATATACTGATGAATACTGTTAGATATACTGATGAATACTGTTAGATATACTGATAAATACTGTTAGATATACTGATGAATACTGTTAGATATACTGATGAATATCATAATACTGTTAGATATATGAATATCATACTGATGAATACTGTTAGATATACTGATGAATATATACTGTTAGATATACTGATGAATACTGTTAGATATACTGATGAATACTGAATATACTGTTAGATATACTGATGAATACTGTTAGATATACTGATGAATACTGTTAGATATACTGATGAATACTGTTAGATATACTGATGAATACTGTTAGATATACTGTGAATACTGTTAGATATACTGATGAATACTGTTAGATATACTGATGAATACTGTTAGATATACTGATGAATACTGTTAGATATACTGATGAATACTGTTAGATATACTGATGAATACTGTTAGATATACTGATGAATACTGTTAGATATACTGATGAATACTGTTAGATATACTGATGAATATCATACTGTTAGATATACTGATGAATACTGTTAGATATACTGATGAATACTGTTAGATATACTGATGAATACTCAGATATTGATGAATAGATATACTGATGAATACTGTTCTCCATATGTCGGACAGTATGTTGTATACGACATAAGATGGTGTTTCAATGGTAACTAGCTTAAACATTCCGGTCTGTTTTACAAATATTAAAAATCGACAAAAATTATTTCTCATAAAAGTTAGCACAATCAATTCAAAATCATTAAGCTTACTACTACTGCATTTTTTTTATATTAGTTTTGCAATTTGGGAGAAAAATTGTTTATAAACACTGCAAGGCCAGTTTGACATTTCTTCGATACAGCGTTACACGGATATATAGGCAGTTTTCTTATCCCTTAATATTATACATTTCTGTTACAGATATCTCCTTTCAACAAAAAAGCATTTGATTTAAAACATGTGTTGTTTTCTAAACTTTGTGTCGATGTCCGATTAAATCAAAAACAAGGGAGTTAACTCTTATATTTCTTTCCCAATGCGTGATTTTTGCACTATTCTATTTTCTTAAAGTTCTGTAAAGTTCACATTCTTTATTTGTATCACATAATATGCATCAACAATCATTATATATTTAGATATTTGTCAAAATATAAAACAATCCTTCAAACCCATATCCTACCGAGATGCCAGATTACAAATCTAGGATACCATTTTTGTTTTCTTATTCTAACCCTGATATTATTGTATTCAAACAAAGGAAATGAACTGCTTGAAAAATATCAATTGACACTTACTCGTTCTGTTAGGTATAACGCCTGAAATCACGAACGAGTCAGCGCTGTAACCCAGGTTAAACAGCTGTAGTGTAAACTTAAAATAGTAGAAAAACGCTAACATTATGTAACGTTACCCAGGTTAAACAGCTGTAGTGTAAAATTAAAATATTAGAAAAACGCTAACATTATGTAACGTTACCGAGTGAAACAGCTGTAGTGTAAAATTCAAATAGTAGAAAAACGCTAACATTATGTAACGTTACCGAGTGAAACAGCTGTAGTGTAAAATTAAAAATAGTAGAAAAACGCTAACATTATGTAACGTTACCGAGTGAAACAGCTGTAGTGCAAACTTAAAATAGTAGAAAAACGCTAACATTATGTAACGTTACCGAGTGAAACAGCTGTAGTGTAAAATTCAAATAGTAGAAAAACGCTAACATTATGTAACGTTACCGAGTGAAACAGCTGTAATGTAAACTTTAAATAGTAGAAAAACGCTAACATAATGTAACGTTACCGAGTGAAACAGCTGTAGTGTAAACTTAAAATAGTAGAAAAACGCTAACATTATGTAACGTTACCGAGTGAAACAGCTGTAGTGTAAAATTCAAATAGTAGAAAAACGCTAACATAATGTAACGTTACCGAGTGAAACAGCTGTAATGTAAACTTTAAATAGTAGAAAAACGCTAAGATCATGTAATGTTACCGAGTGAAACAGCTGTAGTGTAAACTTAAAATAGTAGAAAAACGCTAACATTATGTAATGTTACCGAGTGAAACAGCTGTAGTGTAAAATTAAAATAGCAGAAAAACGCTAACATTATGTAACGTTACCGAGTGAAACAGCTGTAGTGTAAAATTAAAAATAGTAGAAAAACGCTAACATTATGTAACGTTACCGATTGAAACAGCTGTAGTGTAAACTTAAAATAGTAGAAAAACGCTAACATTATGTAACGTTACCGAGTGAAACAGCTGTAGTGTAAAATTAAAAATAGTAGAAAAACGCTAACATTATGTAACGTTACCGAGTGAAACAGCTGTAATGTAAACTTTAAATAGTAGAAAAACGCTAACATCATGTAATGTTACCGAGTGAAACAGCTGTAGTGTAAACTTAAAATAGTAGAAAAACGCTAACATTATGTAACGTTACCGAGTGAAACAGCTGTAGTGTAAAATTAAAATAGCAGAAAAACGCTAACATAATGTAACGTTACCGAGTGAAACAGCTGTAGTGTAAAATTAAAATAGCAGAAAAACGCTAACATAATGTAACGTTACCGATTGAAACAGCTGTAGTGTAAACTTAAAATAGTAGAAAAACGCTAACATAATGTACAGTAGCATATAATACTTACTTATGTACAATATCAATAAAATTCCAATTTGAAAATAGTCCATAGTAGAGGTATATGATGGTGGTGAGGATGTCTGGTCTCGTTCTAGTCTTACTCCGAATGTATATAGAAATCACCATAAAACTATTTATTTACTTCTACCAGCATATTTTCTATACGTATTACTGGCATAAATGTGTCAGACACCAGGGGGTCACTATGGGTACCTGATCATGGTTTTGTCCTTAGAATATATTTAAAGAAAAAACACCAGTAATTTTACTTTTTTATTTTCCCCCTGTTATACATAACTTCAGTAAGCTTTCTCACAGATGTTCCCGTAATGTTTTATACTTTAAAGTAACAGAACACTGCGGAGTAACTACTCAACTGATTAGTTCATTCTAAAGTTTACCCCTCAGGAGCCTCATATATCGTTAATATTAGCGCCATTGTCATTTTGGATGAATAATATCATAAATAATACTGACGGTTGATATGACAGACCTTGACCGATAGAAGATATAAAACTACTTATTCTTTATTGTAAACAAAGAAACGCCAACAGCGTTACTCTCCCATAGAGAAGCCCGACACCTGGTTTTTCCGGCCCTCGTTCTAGGCCGGTGATATGTGCCATGGTTTATTATAATTAATACGGTGCCGAATCCTTCACTAAGAACAACTCTCTTTATCTTAAACGTGGGATTCAAAAACACACGAACTTGTGTTTGTTAGTATTTTTTACCTGTGAATTAATTCATCTAGCGTAAAGGTAGGTGTTCGGGTGCAAATAAACAAACATAAAAAAGAATCGTTTTTGGGTACTTTTTAAACTCTATTCATTCAAGTTTAATGTTACGTTTTCATGTCATAACACAGTATTTCCAGTCAACCATCAGTTTCCCGTCAAGCATCAGTTTCCCGTCAAGCATCCGTTTCCCGTCAACCATCAGTTTCCCGTCAACCATCAGTTTCCCGTCAACCATCAGTTTCCCGTCAAGCTCTATTTAAACCAGATAAGAGTTGTATCAGTTTACATGCCAATCTGGTCAAGTGTATGAATGGTCATTATATGGTCAAGGTGTGACGTCATCAAAACTTTTTTTTTCTGGTAAATACAAATGTTATTTTTATATATTGTGTCGTTTTTGTTGATATATCATTACGTTGTATATAACACTGTACAATTTAATCCATACCATGCTTCATTAATATATATATGAAAAAAAAAAACAAACAATAAAAACAAATAATGACAACAAAAATATAAAGGGAGATAAGCATGTTATACCTCTACGGTCCATATCGACCATTGTCAGATAGTTTACAATTAAATGTTGATTTTTTAAAGATAAAATTTCATTTCAAATTCACATTGTATCACACAAAACCAATCAATTCTGACTATCAGCCACCAAGTGATTTACATCTTTACAGTGGTTCACATATCAACACAATCAGAAAAAATTCAAAAAGATACTCATATAGATACATGTACACATATATACTCATACAGACATATGTACATATAGATACTCATATAGATACATGAATACATAGATACTCATATAGATACATGTATACATAGATACTCATAGAGACACATGTATACATAGATACTCATATAGATACATGTACACATATATACTCAGATAGATACATGTACACATAGATACTCATACGGATACATGTACTCATAGACACTCATATAAATACATGTACACATAGATACTCATACAGACACATGTATACATAGATACTCATACAGATACATGTACACATATATACTTATAGATACATGTACTCATAGATACTTATAGATACATGTACTCATAGTTACTTATAGATACATGTACTCATAGATACTCATACAGACATATGTACACATAGATACTCATACAGACACATGTACACATATATACTCATATAGATACATATACACATGTACACATAGATACTCATATAGATACATGGAAGTACAGCCATAGATACTCATAGGGAGGACACTATATACCTAGTTTACCAGGTACATCATGGCTATACAGCTGAAGAAGTTTGAGAACATGTACACATGATACTCATATAGATACATGATATATTGTGTACACTTAGAGATATCACATAGATACTCATACAGACACATGTACACATAGATACTCATATAGATACATGTACACATATATACTCATACAGACATATGTACACATAGATACTCATACAGACACATGTACACATATATACCGTGCTCACAGATACATGTTATATACATATGACTTAAATATAGACCATCAGGGTACACATATATACTAAAACAGATTCATGTATACATAGATACTCATATAGATACATGTACAGATATATACTTATAGATACATGTACACATAGATACTCATACAGACACATGTACACATATATACTCAAACAGATACATATCTACATAGATACTCATACAGATACATGTACACATAGATACTCATATAGATACATGTACACATAGATACTCATATAGATACATGTACACATATATACTCATATGTACACATAGGACACATGAACGAAGTGTGCTAGGATGTTTTACCAGGTCATCAGGCTATGCTGAAGAAGTTTGAGAAGCTGAGGCTGAGATGATATATTGTGTCGAGATATCCAGGAAGATGCCGATGCGAAGACTTAGACCATACTTCCAAGATCCAGGATCTCCACCGTGCTCACCATGTTTCATGATGACTTTGACCATCAGGGACGCGACAAGACCTTATCCTTGGTTAGAGACAGGATTTTTTTGGATTGGCATGACCAAGACCTCGCAACTCCAGCTAGAACTTGTATTCCACTTGTATCCACCAACACCTCGCAACCTCTAGAACTTGTATTCCACTTGTATCCATCGACACCTCGCAACCTCTAGAACTTGTATTCCACTTGTATCCATCAACACCTCGCAACCTCTAGAACTTGTATTCCACTTGTATCCATCAACACCTCGCAACCTCTAGAACTTGCATGTATGGGTTTCCTGTCGTTGGAGACATCTAAGGGTGGCATCGAAAATATTATCGTGATGACGGATCATTTCACCAGATATGCTGTTGCTATACCAACAAAGAACATGACAGCTCGGACGACAGCGGCAATGTTCTGTAATCATTTTGTGGTACACTACGGGTTGCCTCACAGGATCCACTCTGACCAAGGGTCAAACTTCGAAAGTAACCTCATGAAGGAGCTTTGTAGGATCACCAACATAGAGAAGTCTCACACAACTCCTTATCATCCGATGGGTAACAGATAGTGTAAGCTATTCAAAAGGGCTCTATTAGGAATGCTAGGGACACTTAAGGCAGAGCAAAAGAAGAACTGGAGAGCTAATGTCTCAAGCATAGTACACGCCTACAACTGCACTCTACAAGACTCTACTGGACAAAGCCCGTACTTTCTTATGTTTGGACGGAACCCGAGGCTACCCGTAGACTTCGGAATACTCAGTGAATGAGATGACATCACCATGACGCAATGCGTATCTGATCTTCGAGAGCGATTACGAGGGGGCTTACGAGTTGGCGGTTGCAAACTCCGAGAAGGCAAACACCAACCAGAAGGCCAACTATGACAGGCGAGTTCGTGAGACTGTACTCAATGTCGGGGATCGTGTGCTAGAAAAGATCGTGGCATTCGACTTCATAAGCTGTCCAATAGGTGGGAAGAGGAACCGTATCTTGTCCTGGACCAGCCAGTGTATAATTAAATACTGATGTTTTATTCATGATGTTTCGACATATGTGTTTAGGCTGCCATACACATCTTCTGCGATATATCATTGTTTAACATGATGAAATTGTACAAAAGCACACAACTGAAAAGCATCCTGTAATGCAAAAATTATATAAAATAAACACAAGCGAATAGCACCTTAGATTTAGAAACAGTAGGGCAAAACAATGAAATAAACTGCTCCATACAGCTGTTCCGTCCTTCTATGACTCGACAGTGATGTTACATCATACAGCTATTTCGTCATTCTAGGACACGCCAGTGATGTTACATCATACATCTGTTTCGTACTTTTCTAGAAGTCATCAGTGATGTTACATCATACAGCTGTCTGGTCCTTCTAGAAGTCATCAGTGTTGTTACATCATATAGCTATTTCGTCATTCTAGGATTCATCAGTGATGTTACATCATACAGCTGTCTTGTCATTCTAGAAGTCATCAGTGATGTTACATCATACAGCTATTTCGTTATCCTAGGATTCATCAGTGATGTTACATCATACAGCTGTCTGGTCCTTCTAGAAGTCATCAGTGATGTTACATCATACAGCTATTTCGTCATTCCAGGACTCGCCGATGATGTTACATCATACAGCTGTTTTGTACTTTTCTAGAAGTCATCAGTGATGTTGCATCATACAGCTGTCTGGTCCTTCTAGAAGTCATCAATGATGTTACATCATACAGCTATTTCGTCATTCCAGGACTCGCCGATGATGTTACATCATACAGCTGTTTTGTACTTTTCTAGAAGTCATCAGTGATGTTACATCATACAGCTGTTTCGTGCTTTTCTAAAGGTCATCAGTGATGTTACATCATATAGCTGTCTGGTCTTTCTAGACCTCATCAGTGATGTTACATCATTCAGCTGTCTGGTCCTTCTATAACTCATCAGTGATGTTACATCAAACATGCCTTACTTTTGAAGCCTGAGAGGCGACCAATGATAATCCAATGGGATGAAAAGAAAAGTCTAAATAAAGACGGGGAGGCATATATCAGATAATTTTACAACAACGTCAAGTAAATGTGTATATCCTGGACCGTGCAACTCTTAGAGTGAACTAAAACGTGACATGCAGTTTACGGCAAATCTCAGGGACTAATAGTCCATCTGCAGTGTCTACTATCTATTATATCAAAGATTGTACAAGACATAAAATTGAATTGTATTCTTCAGACATAGCCGGCGGATTTTTGTTATAGAACGTGAAAGAACGTGATTTTTAAGTATTGCCAAAAATGTCTTCTGATGTATTCAAGTGACGTGATTATTCACACAATT